GATGTTCTGAGAGCATGACTGAAGCCTTTGTAGCTTCCATACTTCGTTCTTGAGTTCCTTTTGCTTTCTTGTTTTGAAAACCTTTACGAGAATTAACTATATAGCTATCATGAAAAAAAAACCACTTTCCTGGAACTAGAAATTGTTTGCCATTTAATGACAGCTGTGAAGCTGTAGGAAAAAAAATAAATTCAAGGTTGTTTGGATCGAAGACACTTTAATCAATGTTTCCATTCAAAATAGCAGCCACTGCTATTACTACGAGTATTTGAGAAAACTTCATACTAAGGAAAGGCCGAACGGGAGGGCCTGGACATGAAAGTTTCTTAAACCATTGTACGTCTGTATGGCAAACTGCAGAAACTTCCTGAAGACCTGTGAAATTGATACAACCAGATAGGCAGTTTAAATTGATTGTTGCCATTAAATAGTTTATTTATATAAAGTACTAAAGAATCAGAAAAGAGTTGTCAAACTCCATTACATTAGTTTGCCTTCTTGAGATTTAAGGATTAAGTTCCAAAAGAAGGCTCGTACCAGAAATTGCTTGCCACAAAGAAGATATCATTGAGAAATTTAGACTCCTATTTCATTATTATAATTTTTTAATTTTTTGTGTGTAAAGGATCACATCAAAGTACTTTACATTGTGCTTTACATTATGGTATCAAATTGTTACATTGTCTTGATATTCAGAGCAATTGCATTCAGTGCAAAGTATAAGCAATGCTTGGTTCCGACATTTATGTTTGACAGCTTAAATTAGCCTTTATTTCCACTTCTATGTCCCTGTTCCTGTGTAAATGTCAAGTTGGATCCTTGTCGATATACTGTCTATCACTCTTGGGTCAAGTATAACCAGCTAATATAACTAAAAGTAGTAACTAGAACCAACTAAAGCACTTTCTGGTATGTCGCTTATTGCTCCTATTAACTGTATAAAGCAGGTTCAGAGATTACAGTGAGAACCAGAGCCAACATGTGATATTTCTGGCAAACTCTTTGTGCTGATTGCTAGGGTATGCCCAACTGTTGTGGGAAAAATAAAATTAGTTGTTTTAAGAGAATAGCCCCTTCCTTTCCTCACCTTTTCCCAGGGGTCCCATATCTTGACTTAAACCTGTTTTTTTTATTATTTGTTGACCATCTCATCTCCTCCATCACTCTTAGATTTTCTATTCTGGTTATGCAAGTTATGTTATGGATAGTTGGAAATTTGATTTCCATTTGGCCGCTAGTTCTATCTTCGCGGTTGTGAGCATAAAATACAGTAGGGAGTTCTTCTATTTATAGTTTGAGTGTGGCATATTGTTATCAGCACCATGTAAGAGCATTGTCAATATGTCCATAGTCAGTCAGTGTGTGTCCTGATTGTTTTGAGGTCTTACCTCTCCCCAGTAAGGTTTTACTACAGGACAATCCCACCATATACGAAGTTGAAGCGTGCCCTGATCCTTACGGCATCTCCAACATACAGGAGATAGAGTTGTTAATTTTGTGTAATTTATACGGTGTGATATACCATCTAGTGAGCAGTTTTAAGTTTGCCTCTTGTAGCAGGATGTTTCAGTGGGAGTGGAATGTTCTTTGAAATATTTGCGGCCATTTCTGCTCTCACAGGTTCCTGGAAGTCTTTGTCCCAGATTTCGGTGTATTTTGGTAGGGTGGATTGTCTATCCAACCGGACCAAGTGGTAACACTTCAATAGAGTTTATAGGTGTTTTTTTTTGTTCTGTGTGCATTGTGTCTCAAAACTGGTCTCTTGTCTTATGCCTAATTTTGGAATCTGAAGTGCCTTTGCAAAATGAGTAAATTGGTGATAATGGAATTGTTGGAGGAAGGTCGGTTGGTTGTTTGTGTGCAGTTGTGCTAGAGATTTCAGGCCAGTAGATATCAACCACTCTTATTGGTTTAGTTTTGGGGGCACTCAGATGTAGGGGCCCTATTGCCATGCCTTGAGTATCCACTGAGAAGAGTGGGTTATAAATGAATGGAAGTTGGGGTAAAAGATCCTGGGACAAATTTTGCATTGGCACTAGTTTGCCATATTTTAAGAGTTGTGGAGACAATTGGGTGGTATGGGATCCCTTTGTACATTGTCTTGTCATGGACCCAGGGTATGCCTTGAAGTGTCAATTGTGTGTGTTCCTGTTCTACGTGTAGCCAGAGTTTATAGTTATCCCCTCTAGACCAGTCTATGATTTGTTTAGGTGAGTAGCGTAATTGTATTATAGCATATTTGTGAGACCAAGCCCCAATCTGGATTTGGGTTTGATTACGGTGTGGTAAGCTAAAAAGGGCTTTTCCCCTCCCACATAAATTTTGTGAACGTATCTAGAGTGTTTTAAAGAAGGTTTGTGGTAATGTAATTGGTATAGTGTTTAGCAAATACAGGAGGCAGGGCAGAGCATTCATTGTAATTATATTAATTTTCCCAACCAGCTGAAATAAGGTTTATTCTACTTATATAGGTCTTGGTTGATATTCCTAAGTAAGGGAGGGAAATTTTGTTGGTAGAGACCTCCTAGATTTCTTGGTATGTGAATTCCCAGATATTTCAGTGGATTTTTTTGCCCATGGAGAAGGAAAGTTATTTTTAAGAGTTCGCATGTCTCGGTCTTCTATTGTCAAAATGAGAATTTTTACTTTTATCAATGTTTACTTTAAAATTGGAGAGCGAGCTATAAGCGGTCAGTTCAGCTATTAATGTTGGAAGAGATTTATTGGGTTCAGAGAGGGTAAAGATGAAGTCGTCTGCGAAGGCAGATACTCCAAATTCTCTTGAGCCTACTGATATTTCCCTAATGTCTGGATTTTTTTAATATTGCTTGTAAAAATGGGTTGACCTAAAATAAAGAATTGGGAAAGAGGGCATCCTTGTCGAGTGCCATTGTTAATGCTAAGGGGTTGTGACAGCTGACCGTTTACTTTTATCCTTGCAGCTGGCTGTGAGTAAATCGCGTTCAACCACTTCAGCCAATTAGGTCCCGGTCCCAGACATCCCATTGTGGATGCCATGAAGGACCAGTCCACCCTGTCAAAGGCTTTTTCTGTATCTATTGACAGCATGATGTTTTGAGTCCAGTACGCCCAGAGAGCTAAATCTATCATTTTAGTGGTATTATCCTTTGCCTCCCTAGATGTCACAAAACCCACCTGATCAGGGTGGACTAGCCCCCCTACCCAGTAATGGTCTCTGCTTGTTTGCCATCATTTTAGTGAAAAGTTTTAGATTTGCATTGATTATGGATATGGGACGATTACGGCTACATAACTCTAGGTTCTTTCCCTGTTTAGAGAGGACTGTAATGTTGGCCTCTAGATTAGATTTGCGTATGTGCCTTTCCTCCACCGAGTTAATAGCTCTCAGGAAGTGTGGGATTAGTTCCTTTTGTAAGGTTTTATAATACACCAGTGGGTAGCCATCGGGTCCCGGGCTTTTGTTGGGGGGGGGGGATGTTGACTATGGCTGTCTCTAGTTTCATTTGTGTGAAAGGTTCATCAAAGAATCTAGTTAAATTTTTTTGTCTTGTAGGATATGGGGGTTTAGTTTCCATTGGTTGTAGGATTTAGGTATATTCGGAGTGGTTAAAGTAAGTGAAATAGGCGCATGGTCTGACCAAGTTGCGTTTCCTATGTTGGAGAATGTGACTAAACTTAGGGTATTATGGGGAACTATGAACATGTCTATTCTTGTGTAAGTTTTAGTCGAGTTGGGGTAGTGGGTGTAATCATGTACCCCCAGGTTTAGAATTCTCTATCAGTCAACAAGTTGATTGGTATGCATAATCTGGTGCATTTGTTTTCTTGTTAAGTATGTTTGGCTGCTGGAGGTGCTATCTTTATGTGCATCTAATGTGACATTTAAATCCCCTCCTATTGGTTCTCCCTCTACTTCAGCGTTTATTTTTTTATATAATATGGCTGAACGTCACACTTAGGTTCTTGTTGGGTAAATAAATATTTGCCAGCGTTACTTTCCAGGTGCCTAGGGATCCTTTCAAGATTAAGAACCTCACTTGTCGCCAAGATGTTTGTCATATATAAATGGCACGTGTTTTCCCACCAGGATCACCACTCCTCTTGAAAAATGCTCCATTAACTGGTTTAAAAGCGATTTATTGTGCTTCGGAGCACAGACTCCTGCCTGTAGATCTAAGTGTGAATATATATTGAGAGCAGACTGTCTCTTAATGAGCCTGGTTTTCTTTCATAGCGGTTATACACTTGTTAACTGTGCTAATTGTATCCTTCACTGTGTAACAACTGTTCTCCCTTGTGGTCTGTGACCAGCCTGGCTCAGCTGGTTCCTAAAATGAGTAGTAATAAATGTGGCTGCAAAGTTTCTTCTTTAGGGCTGGAACAGTATTAGGGAGGTGGGAGACAGGTAGTTATGCCATCATCTGATGTTTTATGGGCCTTGTGACCATTCATGGGATATGCCTTTTGGCATGAAATCTATGGGGTAGCTGTCTCCCCCTTATTTGGTTGGGTGTATCACCTGAATGGAAGACAGTCTTGCATGAGCAACCCAAGTTAGGATATTTCATATTTTGTTTTAACTATTTACACTGTGAGTGGCACTTCAGTTGTTATACAATAACATTGGAGTCACTGAAACTGAAAGGGGTTCATTTACAGTAACCACATAGGATTGGTGATATATGAGTAAATATGAGCCGGTTTGTGTCTCCGGTTCCCAATGTAAGGCCTTAGGCAGGTCTAAGCAGTGAGTTCTATTTCTCCTTAGCTTTTAGGATCCTTGAGAACTCTGGTTTTAACTCTTACACTTGCGGGCTGATGAGGATCTATTAAAAGTAAGGTAATCGTAGTCCTGATATCCTGGACTTCCCCTTGGCTAATTAACTATTTACATTCATTACATTATACAATTAATATTAAGCAGAAGTATTAGTATGCATTCTGTGAGATCGTAATCGGGGTACACATTGTAGGCTTTTCTGTCTCGTGTAACCTGACTTGTAAACATAAAATCTTATCTACCATTTCATGTCAGTGGCATAGCCTGTCATTGCTTGGGTGAGTTTGAATCCACTCTCCCTCCCGGCTGCTGTTCCCTTCTTTTTGTAGCTGGTAGCCAGCACCTTCTTTGGGGCAGTGCTGTAGTTTGTAGTGCCTGAGTTGGGTCGTACCAATTTGGAAAGTCTATGGTCGGTAGTCCCAGGGCTTGGAGAAAGGCTGGTATGTCTTCTGAGAATATGTTGTATGATTGTCCTTTGTGTCCTACTATGATTTAGAATGGGTATCCCCCATCTATATCGAATGTCCCAGTCTGAGAGTGCAGTTGTGATGGGCTTTAGAGCACTCATTCCTTGGAGGGTGGTCCATGGCAGGTCTTGGTATATTGAAATACGGTTATCTTTCAGCAAGCATGTGGCTGATCATGCTTTCCGTAGTATTTCTTCTTTTAACGTAAAATAATGGATTGTATAGACAAAGTCTCTTGGGTAGTCGGATGACAGACCTCTCGGTTTATTGACTGAGCTCTGTCAAGTAATATTTCTGTATCTAGAGGTTTTTGCAAAATCTCATTAAAGACGTATGGAAGTTTTTTTATGCAAGTCTCTCTGTGCATAATTTTCGGGTACACCCCTCACCCTTAGATTGTTTCAACGACCTCTATTGTCTATGTGTTTCGTCATATGCGCCAGTCGAGAGTTGGTTGCTGATTGTAAGGATTAAGTGTTTGAATTTGTGATTGAGTCACTTACCTATCTTCTTCCAGGTCGTAGACCCGGTGGCTCATTTGGCAGACTTCAGTCTTTAAGGAAGAGAGCTGGTCCTGGAAAGTCGACTCCAATCTGGTAAGCATTGACAGATCCTCTTGAGGGTAGGCTTTTTAAAATTTATTACAAATAGATCTTTCCGATCTTGTCTGGATGCCCTGCAGAGTGTCACGAGGTAAAGATGGCAGGTCCCGACAGTCTTCAGCGTCCGCCGTCAAGATTCTTGCCTTTTCTTTAAAAATAAATCAGTCCAGATCTCCAGATTTTTTGGCAGCCATGTAATCTGTGTGGTGGTGAGGGGTCACCGAACTTTTTTTATTCCTCATTTTCTTAAGAATTTATGTTTTCAGCTTTTTATTATATCTGCTTGGCGGGAGCTATTCTCTCGTGCGTCCGCGCACATCAGGCTCATTATTATTTATAAAAAATTCCACAGTGCTGTACAATAGGTACCACAAAAGAAGAGGAGTTCCGATTATACCAGTAGTTTGAGTTGTTTCTAAAGATCCTTGTACCATGGCTTTGATGAGCAAAGGTCTTTAGTAAACTGTGTGCCCTGTAATCCATAGCAGACTTTCGACTGGCTGGTTAGGACAGAAGACAACTATGGATACACCCACTTTTGGAATTGAATAAAACTGATTTTTTTATTTGGATTTTTATATTTTCGGTGTCTGAAGGAATATAAGATTCACATTAAATGGTTACGACACTTTAAACTTTCGAAATTTTGGTTTTCAGCCAACTGAGGAAGCCCACACCGGCTAAACGAGTTTTGGCACACAGAGACTGGACTTGTCATTTCATTTTACTGCTTATTGTTTTTTATATGTTAAATAAATAAAACTTTTAGCACTATCTGCCTACTAGTCCAGATTCCAGATAAGGGAGTGTCACCCCTAAATATTGACACCAAGTGTTTCCACCTTAGAGCCAAGGCATCAATAGAAGGTGAGAGTCCATGTATTGTATACCTTTGACATCAATGGTGTTTAAATATATTACTTAATAAGCTCCTTCTGTTTTGTCTGCTTTATCCTGAGAGAGTATTCCACACCACTGCGCTTCAACAGAGCCTTAATTCTCAGGCTCTGAAGATTGAGTTTTCGTTCCTATTTACTTTTGTACTCCATCTGTATATCAGTAACATCTGCACTAGTATTTTTTTTTCTTATTCCACTATTTATGTATTCAAGTATATCAGAATTTCTACACTTAAAGGATCACTATAGTTAAAAACCCCTTCAACAGCTTACCTTAATCCAGCACCGGGCTCCCTCGACACTGGTGACCTCTCCTCCCCCGTCGACATCAGCTCCCGAGTGGAGCGGAATGCACATTCTCAATGCTTTTCTATGGACGTTCTGCATGCTGGATGCGAATTTCACATCCAGCGTCGCAGAAGTGCCTCTGGCAGCTGTAAGGAAGCCAGCCACTAGTGGTTGGATTAACCCTGCTATGTAAACAGTTTCTCTGAAACTGCTATGTTTACATGTGAAAGGTTAAAACCTGAGGGAACTGGCACCCAGACCACTTCATTGAGCTGAAGTAGTCTGGGTGACTAAAGTGTCCCTTTAATTTAATAAGCAGTAAGCAATTATTGCATAGAAATATCATCAAGCGTTCCACTCATTTATTGTTAAGATTTTAAGTTGATATTTGCTGGTTTGACTTTAAACTTTTGATTCAAATGTTTGAGTCGGACAGACCCTCATTCAGATGTTTATTGAAGTCTCCCTTAAGGAAAAAAAATGTTTTGTCAAAATTAAATTGCCATTTGCTACTGCATATTTGCATGTTTTCCATTTATAACGTTTTAGTTTTGTTTTAAGCTACCCCTCTTGTCCTGGACAATGGACTACTGCCCACTGGTTAGTACATCCACTTTAAATTTGTAAAATTATGTTTAGGTCATAGTACAAGTTTTACTTTACCCAATTTATGGTAGTATTGGTTATATTTAGACAAAGTTTTGTCTTGATCCCAAAATTAACCTACCTTTTCTACTATCCAGCCAAACATCAAATTCCACATTCCTATATATTTCTGGGTCCAGCGCTTTCAATACTTTGTAAGGAAAAGGCATTTTGTTTGGGTTCTCTGAAGCCTACAAAATGGAAAGTTAATATATTTAATTATACTTAACATCCTACAAAATTAGCCATGGAGTCTAGTATAAGAAGTTGCAACATACTGACAAAGAGCTTTCAAGTGAACAGTATTTACAAACCAATACATGCATGTACAAGACCAAACTGTTCTACCAAAAAACTTCCTGATAGATCGCACTAGCAGAGAAGTGCAGTCGCTCATTGTAATGCACAGGGCCAAGGCCTCCAGCATATTTAACATCAGTCCCCAGTGGCAGACTGTTCATGAAGTGAGAGGGATCATACCACATGCTGAACATTGTTTGTATTGTCAAAGTAGTGTGTGTGTGTCAGGTTGTGCATCAGTAAAAATAAAGAATATATGCACAAATGTGTATATACACATACAAAATACATACACACATATATATATATATATATATATATATACACATACATACACACATACAAAATACATACACACATATATATACACATATATATACACATATATATACACATATATATACACATATATATACACATATATATACACATATATATACACATATATATACACATATATATACACATATATATACACATATATATACACATACATAAAAAAAAAATCCAAATTTCTTTTGAAATAGGCACTTTCATGTATTGTGACAAAGGAGACCTGAAACTCCTAAAGCAATTCAGATAGCTCAAATAGTTTAGGGATATTTCGGTTTGAGAGACTTTAATATTACCAGATATACAAAAAAAAAAAAATCAAGGTAATAGGGCTGAAATGTTGAATGCATTCTGTTGCATGTCAACTGAAAAACTAATTATTGTTTTTATTTTGAAGTCCTACAAGTGTGCTGCTTCATATTGGAGGAAATAATTTAAAATTTTAGGTTTGTTTTTACCCCGCCCCCAACTTTATAGCTCCACACTAAACTAGTACAATTTATTCCAGAACTGCTTTTTATTCCCAGTCCGACCCTATGCATATAAAGTGGCCACAATTTTCCTCTAACTATTCAAGGAAAGACTAAATCATTAGTCATATTGATTAAACTGTTAAGGAAACATCCCTTAAAAGATTAGAACATGCTTAAAATTGGACCACCAGATTTAATGGCCATATAGCAATGCTGCAAATCCTTCCATTCCAGGTCATCCTAAAGTTGTTCAACCGGAATGAGATGTGGTACTGTGAAGACATTGATAGTTTATTAACTAGTTCGAGAAGATGCATACCATGTGGCATGCTATGCTATATTGCTATAAATTGTAGCCTGAAAATATGTAGAGTAACAAACAAGTAAGTAGATCAACAATGCCTAGGTACATTGTTCCATACAAATTATACTTAAAGCGAAACTCCACTACCCAAATACATAAAAATCACTGTTTAGTAGATATATCCAAATGAAAACATGTATACATTGAATTATGCATTTTTTCCTGGGGATGTATCTGAAACAGCTTGCAAAACCTGCAGATCTCTTGTTTGCTGTCTTTGAAAACCCTCCCCTTCTAACCATGCCAAGGCTTCCTGTTGCTGTCCAATGAGACTTCACAGCTCAATGAGAAGTATTTGCAAGACAGGTGTTTTGAGTAGTTGATGCCTCTCTAGTTTAGCTCCACTTAAAGTCAATGGGGTGTAACCAGCTTAATTTACAAAAATATCAGTTTGTATTGAAATCTGCATGTTTTGCACACAAAAAAAACCCACTTCACACAAAGCTTTTCAGTTTCAGCAAGCTCAAGTTGTTTAGGGGTCTGGCGTGCCCCTTCAACTGGTACTAAAGGGTGCAAATGGGTGCCAAGAATATATGTACCACTGACCCAAAGTAATAGATTCACCTGTGTATACCATATTTTTGTAATTACATACTAGTTGAGATATACCATAACAAAAAAGCGGCAATGCCACCTAGTTTTTTTTTCCATGACAGATTAACTTTAATTGAATTATAAGGCTAATCACCAAGGAGATAATTGGGAAATAAGTTTGTGTGCAGTTGGTACATAAATACAAGACTGAACTGTATGAGAATTAGAGCAATGTAAATTACACAATCACTAACGCTCAGGTGGAAAATTAAGGTTCCCTTGCCATCTCAGAAAACAAAATACTACGTACAGTACTAGAAACATGAACATTAATGTTTTATTAAGGGAAAGGTCTAAGTTAAGTTCAATATCACCAAGTAGTCCACTTGGAACAGCATTTGGACACAAAGTTGAGCACTAGCTCGAGCAATCTTTGGCCTTCTACTTTGGCAATTTCAGGGCATTTGTGATTAATCCCTAGAATAGACTAACACTACTAAAAATAAACGTATTCGTTTGCTCCTAATCGACCTAATAATCAAGTCTCAGACATGGAACCTGTACAAATAAATCAAACCTTTGCTTCATCAAAACCCTGCTTGGTTTTATCCTCCAATGCATTTTCACAGTCTTTCCTTTCCCTTTCATCTGTCCTAAAAAGAGGGAAAAATTAAAAGTTAAAGTACCTTGGCACTTACTGAAACAATTGCCACGTTTCTTTTGGGGGCGGGGGGGGAATACAAAAGGGGCGTTGCCCAATTCACTAAAAACTATAATTAGTTTCACTGAAGTTTGGGGAATTTAGATGGGAAGAGGTATTTGTCACTTACAGTTTTTGTGTTTAAGACAGGACAGTTTAATAGCAGTTTTCATTACCTCAGGCTCACACCTATCCACTGGTGGGAGTGAGCCTTCAACAAAAGACAGCATCATGTGATCCCTCATAGCAGCTCCACTACATACACATACAGTAAGGTCTGCAAATATTTGGACACTGACAAAAGTTGTTATATTGGCTGTTTACCAATATAAGTTCAATTTACAGTTAAATAATAAATTATAGCTCAACCCCCACACAAGTAGATTGCTGTAGTTGAAACAACCCATTATAACTGCCACCATGACAAAACGGCACTCACAAGCAAAGAAAATGGGCCTGTCCTCATTTCCGTCTACACACACAACTTGCACAAAACCATGGCTTTGAGCCCAGGATAGGGCGGCTTCCGTGGTGGTCTTCTGCAGGCCATGCCTAGGATTCATGACATAATGGCAAGATGGAGAACCTTGCCCCTTCAAACAATGACAGATGGGCAGACTATAAACTTCATGACTTTGTTCAGATATGCCAAAATTAAGGACTTTGTTATCTCTATACCACAACAACATGCCATTCATAGGGACCTCACGCCCATTAAATTGCTATGTCAGGACCATGACCCATGCCACATAGTATATCCTGCCTCTATTCCATGCTCCAGCAACAGAGGATACCCCTGTCCCCCTTTAAACTGAAGTGTTAACAGGTCATAGGGGGAAACATTCACAGAGAACCAATGGCACAGAATATTCCATCTGGTTCACCATTGCGCAATTGCTAATAAGAAAGCCTATGAAGACCTTACATAGTGGTATCCGACACCTGATTGCCTGAAGAGAGTGTACCCCAACCTAGACGGAAAAGGCTAGAGGTGTGAAGGGGAGGTTGGAATTGCTCAATCCTAGAGCCATTCTGGAAAGACCGTCTCCATCATAGACAAATTAATGAACAGCCCTCCACCCTTTTTACCAGCCCAATACCTGCTGCATCACCGGTCCCCCTCCTCCAGGTATAAACACTCCCTGACTATCTGCATTTTAAATACTGAAAAGCACTTATTACCACGTACTGGAAACATGACTCTGCCCCACCACTGTTGTTGCAGTTAACCAAGATGGAGTCCTGGAGGAACAGTGTTTTTTGCAGATTAGAGCACAGACACACATGGATATTTGGGTACCATTGTTCCTTACTGCCCTCTCAGATGAATTCCAGGACTGATATCAGGAGGGATGGAGGGGTGTCATGGGGGTAGGGAGATGGGGCCAGCACAACCAAACAGAGCCCTGGACCATCAGCATCTCAGAAATGCATTGAATAAATTAATCTCGAAGAGGAAAGTTCAGTGTCTCCATGCAGAGGGTGAAGACACAATGGCAATGCTGCTCACTGCAGCACCTCTAGTAGTCATATAATGCCATGTTCTGCAGAGAAGTCTTGTGATGGCTTCTGGTATCCAGTACTCTTTTTACAATTCTTGTTTAGCTTTTCTTGGTTTTCTATTCTATGTTTGGTTTTCTTTATGCTGGGTTTTTCTGGGTTCATTCCTGTAATCCGTCCCTGGAAGTGTCTTGGATTCATTTAAATGTTTGTTTTATGTTGCCACACCAGTTTGTTTTCCATCATTCCTTTTGTTTCAGTGTTCCTGCAGGCAGCTGCTCAAGTCTTCTGCCCTTTCTTGCAGGTAAGTACTATGTGTGTTTTCTTTGGTTGGTTTAGCTTGCATTAGGCAGAGTAGGCCCTGCTAGATATGGGGTACATTGGCATTGTTGGCAGGCTTATGCAATGTATGATCATATAATGTGACTAAATCCCCATGATTTTCATATATAGTACTTTATTTATCCTCTTGTTTTGCCATTCATATCTTGTCTTGTTTTAGTTTGTATTCCCAGTCCATGTACAGTCCTGCCCATGTTATGTCAATGTTTCCCTTATGTATTGTGTACATGTTCTGGGTTTAGCTTCCTATCCTTCTCTGGTTCTGGGTTCTACAAGTTTTGTCTTGTTTTCATGTTTGGTGACTATCCTAGCCTTGCCTTGCCTTGTTTCTGTACTGGATACATTTCTGCTGCAGAGCCTCCCTGTCTCACCACAGCAGACAGACTGCCAGATGTGGTCGCCGAAGGAGTTCCCAACAGGGGAGTCCTTGTCCTGCTTCCTACCTCGGAGCCACGGCAGCTTTATTTATCTACAAGTTATTCCAGTCCTGTTCATCCTGGCATATTTACTACACTGGGGGCTGTACCTTGACTATGGCTGTGCTCCACCTGACCCTGATCAAACATCAGCAGGGTATTTAAACTCAGCATCGGCCTGTGATCAGGATCAAGTCTTTGATCCTGTTGTGTGTTCCGTACCAGTGTTCCTGTCGTTTGATCTGCTACTTATTATTGACCCCGGCTTCTGACTCGTTTACTCTGACCTCTGGCATCCCTTGACTTCGGCTACTCCTCGTTGTTCTGTCCTCTGGCCTCCTTTGACCTCGGTTATCCCTTGACAATCCTGCTGTTTGAGTCCTTGCCTGTCCTGCGACTTGGTACTTCATCCTGCACAGCCCCCGTGCACAGACCCACAGGCCAGGTGAATTCTTACCTGACCACCTTGGCCTGTGGCCATCTGCAAGGGTGAGCAACATATCTGCGCTACAGACTCCCAACCCAGGTAAGACCCTATCTAGTTCCTGGGAGGTCTGCATTTCATATAGGTACCGGACCGCCACCCTGACAGTCATATGAGGAGTGGCCAGTGGAGGTATTCCTAGTCTGTAATGTAAACACTGCATTTTCTCTGAAAAGACTGTTTACTGCAAAAAGCCTGGCGGGAATGATTATACTGAGCAGAACAAATATAAGCTGTAGTTCTGGTGACCATAGTGTTTCTTTAATTTGAGGGTATTGACATCCAAATTGGAGGAAGGGTTTAGGAATTACAGCTATTTAATATTTAGTCCCCTCTTATTCAAGAGACAAAAAGCAATTGGACAATTGACATAAAAGCTGTTTAACAGGCAGATGTGGGCTACTCCTTTTTTATTTCTTCATCAATTAAGCAGGTGAAAAGTCTGGATTTGAGTCGAGGTATGGCATTTGCACTTGGAAGCTGTTGCTGTGTAGCCACAACAACATGCTGTCAAAGGAGTGCTCACTGCAAGTAAAATAGGCCATCCTTAGGCTGCAAAAAAAAAAAACAAAAAAACATTGAGAGAGCAGGAACATTAGGAGTGGCCAAATCAACAGTTTGGTACATTCTGAAAAAAAAAAAAAAAAACACACTGATGAGCTATGCAACACAAAAGGCCTGGATGTCCGCGAAAAACAAAGTGCTGGATGATTGTAGGATCCTTTCCATGGTTAAGAAAAAACCCTTGACAACACCCGGTGAAGTGAAGAAAACTATCCAGGACGTAGGCATAACATTAATGAAGTATGGAGAAAGCTTGGAACGGCTCAGGATCCAAAGCATACCACATCATCTGTAAAACACAATGGAGGCAGTTTGAAGGCATGGGCATGCATGGTTTCCAATGGCACTGGATCACTGATGTTTATTAATTATTTGACAATAGATAGAAGCAGCTGGGTGAATTCTGAAGTGTATAGGGATATATTGTGTCATCAGATTCAGCCAAGTTGGCTGGATGGAACTTCACTTTACAGGCAATGACCCAAAACAAAGGTGAATGTGGCCCAGGACACTTTGTTTGGCAAAGAAGTGGAATATTCTGCAATGGCAGAGTCATTCACCTGATCTCATCTAATTGAGCATGCATATCACTTGCTGAAGCCAAAACATAAGGAAGAAAGACCCAAAAACAACAGAAGACCGCTGCAATAAAGGTGTGGTAAAGCATCACAAAGAAGGATGTCCATGTGTTCAAGACTTCAAGCAAAGTATACGACAAAGTATAAATTTTTTTTACATTTTATACATGATTGTGTTCATTTGTCCAATTACATTTGAGTCTCTAAAAGAAGGGCACTGCATATGAAAATGGCTGCAATTCCTAAATGTTTCATACAATATATTTGTTCAACTCACTTAAATTAAAGCTGAAAGTCTGCTCTTTAATCAGTTTCATTTCAAATTCATTATGGTGGTGTACAGAGGCAAAATTATGAAAATTGTGTCAGTGTTCAAATATTTCTAGACCTTATTGTCAATATACACACACATTATTTAAACATACACATCTACACTTTACACACAAATGTGTGTATTGATAACACATACACAGATTACCTACATGAACCCCTTAAGGACACATGACAGAAATATCCCGTCATGATTCCCTTTTATTCCAGAAGTTGTGTCCTTAAGAGGTTAATAACTGGCCTATGCACTATGAAATAACTCACTGACAATGTGAAACCAAGTATACTATCCCTTACAGTGACACCATGGCTTGTGCTCACCTGGTGATGACCCTCCAGGGGAGTTGTGTATCTACTTGTTTCCAATGGCATCCCTCAAAAAGGGAAATGAAAGTAAGGATCGTAGTAATCTATAGGTCCCCCTACATAGCTTCTCCTGATACAACTCACTAACCCCTTCACCCCCTCCCAAGCAAAAAAATTAAATAATCTTGGATGAAGATAATGTATTTTCAACAGCTTCCCTTCCCCACACCCTCCTTAAAGACATTGTAATTACGGCGGAATGCAGGTGGCAATTTCACTCTTCAGGGTGTTACTTGAATGAGCCTTTATGACTTTGCACCTGTAAAGTGTGAATCTGGGATACTTTGTAAACAGAGGATGACATTCCCTCTTCCGATTTTTATTGCTGCATGAAGAAAATAGAGCTCTTGGCTAGTCAGATCTAAATCCCTCTTCCAGCTGGGGAGCTCCCCTGGAGCAAACTTAGATTTTTAAAAAAAGTTGTATTTGCATTGCTTTTTTTGGCAATACTAGCACCAGCCACAGAGCCTCTAATACCAACTGTGCTGGTAAGATACTGGCCAGGTGGCAATCTGAATTACCTCCGATCACTTGCTTGCTCTGGGACACAGTCAAAGCTAGCATCTTCACTGCCTGTGGATGCACTATTGCGATTCTTCTTAGTGCCACTTCGGAAAAGTTCAACAGCAGAAATCAATTCTCTCTCGTCCACGCCAAAGACATCTCTGTACAGACATTCGTACAGAACAGCTATACAAAACAGAATAAAGCAAATAAAATAGGAACATTATACAACAGTTGCTTCTTGGTGCATTTTGAATCAATTTTGCTTTTTTGATAGATGCAGGAGCTTCTGTTGCCACTTGAACAATGTAAAGCTGGTATTTGTTGATCCACAAATCTTTACACTGTTCTCAGTTTTCTGACAAACGATCAGGCTTGGAAGCATTAGCACACACACACCCCACATCAGGAGGAACCCAACTCTTACTAAAAGACTTTCTTTTAAATACACCTTTTATACGGACAATCTCTCACCCATAAAATAATATTCAAGTCAGTTGCCATACAGATGTTCATTCATACATATTTGAGAATAGGATCACTGTGTCCCTGCCAATATTTCTGTGTGGCTCTATAAAGATTCAAAGCACAAACTGCCATGCTCTTCGTATATACATCATCCCCATTACTATCAATGACAGGATAAGAAAGGGGCACATCAGATAATCCTAGTCTATAAACAGCCTGTATTTTTACAGCTTATTTTTATAGTTTACAATTCAAGTAAATAAGAAAAGATTGCAAAACACATTGTGAAATCAGAGTTAGATAACTGTAATCAAGCACAGTTAATTGGATTCTCAGAGGTTACTTTATCTGAAGTGCCCTAGTGCTGTGCATTGGCTTAATAGCAAACAATTTAGTAATGGTGTAATAGGCCATTTATTTGAAGACTGCAGCTTTGAGGTATAGACAGATTCTGTACCCAGTTTGCCACTTCTAGATATAAATTAATTTAAGTAATGATATCTCTACTCTTTAGGTCCAATCTTGCATCCATCCCTGCAACAAAGCCATTTAGTTTTCCTCATCTCTACCCACCAACCCTGGTTTCTTCCATCTATATAGCATGCTCTCCCAGCTGTTTGGAACCACAGCACTGCGGAATATGTTGGTGCTTTATAAATGCCATTAATAAAAATATAAACCAAATAGCTTCTTGGATTTGCACAACACTCTCAGCCAGAGATTGATAGTGTGAATACTGTTAACCCTACATTATGATGGCCCAAGAAGAGCCCAGGGATTATCTGAAACTGTAAAGTGTTTGGTATTAAAACCAGGTAATGGAATAGGGTACTCTAAGCAGCAACCACAACAGTAAACTCTTAATGCTTGGATAAAAGATAAAATACATGACAATTGAGAAAAACATGTTAAAGTGTAAAAAACTTTTTACCTACCTTGACATATGGCTGCATTTCCTTGAAAAGTTTTTGTAAATACAGAGTCATAATGTCCATTGCTTGAAGAGCACAACATTATCTTGAAAAGAAACATGAAAATAACTAGCTATAGTTGTGGAAATATTTTATTAAATGTGGTCAATCATAAAGATCAATTATTTAAGGCATTTGGATGTAGTATTGCATAAAGAGGTGAAAGACTCTGATAATGTAATTGTAGTTATAATCAGAAACCAGCAGGGGCTAAGTAACTGCTGGGGCCCTTTCCAGGAAACTTAAAGGGGCACTATAGTGCCAGGAAAACAAACACGTTTTCCGGGCACTATAGGGTTATTAGGTCCCCCTCCCTCGGGGCCCACCTCCTGCGGGGCTGTAGGGGTTTAAACCTCTTCAGCCACTTTAATCTAGAGCCGGTGACCTCTCCTCCCCCTGCCTTCAGCTTCGAATGCGCAGCAAGAGGCGCGGGTGCATTCAAAGCACACATAGGAAAGCATTACTCAATGCTTTCCTATGGACGTCCAGCATCATCTCAGTGTGATTTTCACACTGCGAATCGCGGAAGCGGCCTCTAGTGGCTGTCAGGTAGACTGCCACTAGAAGCTGGATTAACCCTCAATGTAAACATAGCAGTTTCTCTGAAACTGCTAGGTTTACAGCTGCAGGGTTAAAACTAGGGCGACCTGGCATCCAGACCACTTCATTGAGCTGAACTGGTCTAGGTGCCTATAGTGGTTCTTTAAGCACTGAAATTATAATAGAAAAACATTTTTTTTGGAGTTAATGTCTTTTTTCCCTAGTATTAGAAGCAGTACGTGTCATGAGGGTTTGAGCTTCACCTTACAAAGGACCGGCAGAGCACTCAAAGCTTTTACATTTTTTAGAAACTGAACAGTTGAAAACTTGCAGCACCTCAAGTTACCAGAAACGACAAAGCAATATCAGTTAAGTATCAACATTTTATCAAATTGACATTTAAATAGAAGGGAAGTAAAAGGTTTTTCCCCTTCCTATGGTGTCACGACTGGGTCCAGTACGCAGAACTATGTAATATCTACATAGACAGAATAGCAAAAGGACAGAACGTAAACCGGTCCTTTGAATGGCCAGATTAATACGTTGAAAGACTGAATGGTCAAGGGAAATCCATGGTCCATGAAGCCAGAAATACACAAGAACGATATGGAAAGCCAAGTCAAGGGAAACAGAAAAAAATGAGTCAAGGATAGCTAGGTCAAAATACTGGAAAGATCAAGTACAAGACAAAAAAAAAACCACTCGGGAACTAGGAACTGAAACCACAACAGGGCAATGAGCTATGGAACTTCAGGGATTTAAATATCCCTCCTTGTGCTGCGATTGGTCAGAGCATGACCTCTGACCTCAGAACGTGCATGTGCGTCAACGTCCGATGATCAGGTTTATGTCCGGATGATCAGGTTTCATTAATGTGTTCATAGTGGCAGTCGTGAAAATTTGTTCTGTTGAAGCAAAAGCTTTGGATGCCCATGACGTTGCTACAGGCCTTGATCAGTGGAGGAGGCTATAAGACTGAAAAGATTGCCACAGTGATGGCTTCTTTAATCCACCTAACCAATGTACCTTTCTAAGTAATTTTGCCTTTGAAACAAATCAGGTAATTTAAGTAGCATTCCAATGTGTTTTTGACATCAGTTTGTAATATTTCTCTTCCTTTTATGTGGACTCTGGTAGAAAGTTAGAAAAATAATGATTATCCAACTGAGATTGGAGAGAGGCAGCTGGTGATGTGAGAAAGGTTTTGCAGTAGCGCTTTTATACAACTTGGCTTTAAGTAGCCAATCATCAAGATATGGGATGACATGAATCCCTTTCTTTCTCTGGAGGGCTGAAAAGGATCACTATGATCTCTGTAAATACGCTTGAGCCAAAATGTAGTGCTTTGAAGTAAAACTGTCTTAATCGCCCTCTGATTCTTATGCAGAACTGCAGGTATCTTCTGCTTTATCTGGCAGCTGGAATGTGTAAATATGAATCTTGTAAATCTATTGACACCATCCAGTCTTTTCGCTGAAACATGTCACTAACAAAAAAATTAAATAAAACATTTTTAAATATTTTTGTTACTTGCAGCCAGGTTTACTGGTTTCAAATCAAGGATCAGTTTAAATGATTTGTCTATTTTGGAGACCAGGGTTAAAAAAAAAAAAAAACAAATATGGAATAGGTGTCTTTCCTTCTCCATCCGTACCAGTGAATTCTTACACGGTACGCTTTAAAATTTTTAGTTTTTAACTTCCTGAGTGAGTGGTGTACATGCAAATCTGAGATGACATTGTCGAGGAAAGAGGGAGGGAGAATGTTTTACTATGGTGTAGCCTTTTTTTATGAACAAGAATAACCATCTGTCTGATGTGGTATCGAGGCAGGCTTTTTGAAAGATTTACATTATAGGATTCTAGCCCACACAGTTGAAGGCAGCTCAAACACCTTAAGTCTCTCTCTTCCGGTCCAAAATAAATGCGTAGTGGTGTATATTAAAAAATACCACAAAATATAATGTAGTATATTCTGTATAAAATTGTATGTTTTCAAAATTTTTAAAAACATATACGACCATATTTTGGAAGGTGCTACCCTAGCTCTGTTTAAAAAAAAAAAAAAAAAACAACAAACAAGAACAAAAAAAAACGAGATGAAGTGAAAAGGCTTTTAACACTTCCTCTTAATCTTCGAGTAATTTTCTTCCTAGAAAAGCTGAAATTCATCTTTTGAGTTTTTGATATACACTTCTATTTTCAATAATCTGCTAATCTTATTTTGACCCGATACCAAGGGCAGTGACTGTTGTATTGACTGAATGGATGCAAAGCAAAGATCAAGTAAAGTTTCAGCAGCCTCACTTTGAGTATATGCAGGGAATGCAAAAAACTTTATGAGTGCATTCCAACCTCAACTTTTTTCCTCCTCCTAGCCTCTCAGGACTCTACCTCCCTCATTGAAGGACAAGCAGAACATGGACATGCTTTGAGGTGCTGTCAGTTTTATACAGTTCAGGGGTAATGAGGAGGTACTAAAATGTTGCTTTCCCTGTTATTTGGAAGAAGAAACTGAACTCTCCATGACTTATACTGCCTCTATCCTTCAGGAAAAATACAGTTATGTATATGACAGCCATATAAGTCCAGTAAGTCAGATGCCAAAAAAAATATTCAGATGCCTATATACTATAAACACAGTATGCAGTGATGTTCTTTTTTGGCCAAAACATTACATAGTAAAAACGACAAGCATGAAGTTGATGCTTTTTTTTTTAAATGTACTGTTAAATATTTAATCACACATTTAAATCCCTATCTAACTATAGTTAAAAAAATAAATAAATAAAAAATAAATAAAAAAAAAACAGAACTCCTCATTTGCTCTGGTCCTTGAGTACAAAAAGTGGTCTTGATAGAGTCAAGAAAACACATCAGTTAGAAACAATTACATAAGACTTACTTTTCCATCACAATTGTTATCTGTTGCATATGTAGGTGGCTTTCCAGGACTTTTATAGAGAATAAAGTTTAGACTAGAAGAGGAAACAATTTCTAAAGTTAAATTAAAAAAAGAAATCAATTACATATATAGTTATGCATACATAAATATACACACACACACACACACACAATGTAACATTTTGGAAGCAAACATTCCAAAGAAAACAAATTTCCCATCTAGGCAATTTCCCATGCCATTTAGGCAACCTTGAACTGGACAAAAACTCCTCCCGACCAGTCTACCAATTAAATTTGTGAATGTCAGGCAGCCTATTTTGTTTCCTCATTCATTCCATGGAAAGAGGCCGATAAAACAGTGTAAGGGGGTCCAGAATTCTTTGATAATGGAAGAACTAGAAATCCCAACAAAAAGGGTGTCTCATGTTTTGTACTATTAAAAACCAGCATGTGCATTGGAAACGTACTTTCATCCCTTTGCAGTTCTTCTGAGTGAAAAGGTATACAAGTGATTGTCTGGAGTCAATACATTACTCATAGGAATCAAGCCAGGCATTATGGATGTGTATTATCACAAAATGAAATAAAAATGTTTTGTCAGTTAATAGGAAGGACATAGGCTATGTATGTCTGACAAAGCTACTTCAAATTCAATTTCAGATATAACAAGAAAGCAAAATGGCACATCTTACTTGAAGATCAAGGATAGGGCTGTTATTTCAAGCTGACCAGCACTCTCCTACAAGCATTAAAATAGGTTAGAAATGAAGGAACACAAACATTCTGGCAGGTACATAAACAAAAACAAAAAGGCATGCTAAGCACCATAACCGATGGATAGATGGAAAGATGGATAATTTGCAGAAATTAATATTAATGTGACATGAATTTTCACACAAAAGGTTCATCTGCATTTGAGAACCTGTAGAATTGTTTTTTACATAGCAGCACAACAGAACTATTGCATACTAAAAAAATATTAAAAAAAAAAAAAATTAAATACTCAACTGATTGCAAAGGTTACACTTTCTAAAACTCCATAACTTCAACTGCTAAGTAAAAGGGTAAAGAATAGGCAAAGAAAGCAAGTAACAAGGCAAAGGAAAAATTAGCTGTCCAAAAATATGTTCATGTAGTGGAGATAAAAGCTGTGCATGAAGTGGAGTGATTAGATGTTAAGGACAGTGTGTCTAGATTACAAAATGATTAAATATATTGCTATTAAAAAAAAAACAACAAAAAAAAAAACCTTACTTTTGGATCTTCTAATCGCTCCAGATACTTTTCAAATGGCCCTTCCACATACTAAACACACCAAAAAAAAAAAAAAAAGGATATGGTTCAATAAGAGTGAATATAGGGATATATTTAAAGCTGTAGAGTAAGATAAGAAAAAAAAGATTTAAAAGATTACTGTGTGGGCCAGAAAGGACCTTAGAAATATGGTCTGATGTGCCTAATGCACAGGATATAGTTTTCCAAACGGCTTAAAACTCTAAACTCACTGTTCAAACATATGGTGTTATTAGAATTGCAAAATTGTAATGCATACACAAATTGATTCTTTTAATCAGCTCTACTCCATGTGGAAACAAACATT